AATCTTCAATTTGGAAGAATAAGATTGAATAATTCTCATTACAGTACAGTGACCCCACAGTTGAAAATATTTTGTTAAAAACCAAACTTTGGACAAGAAACAATTTTGAAAAAAATCCCTCAATGTGAGAATAACATTTTAGAAGGAAAATTGGAAGGACAATAATGATAAAAATCATGCATTTTTGGTACTCAATTTCCAATTTGTACCTCCTGTCACCCCAATACAATAAAATCTCATTACAACAAAGCCATTAGGATTAGGAGCATTATAAAAAAAAACCTCCTGCAGAAACAAATCTGTTGTCAGCAATAATTTATCATTATGAGATTTGTTGGATCAAGATTCTAAAGTATTCAAAAAACTGGGGCTTCCAATTGCTATTGTTGTATTCATCTTCCCAAAGGATCATCTCTCATTTCACAATTTAAAATGTTCAATTATCTTTTGGGCTAATTTCTTCAACATTGAAGTTTTCAATTATTTTCATTGCATAAATTTCATAATTGTTTCTAACTTTTATAATCATTTGCAATGTATAACTTCTAAAATGATTTTCAATGTATAACTTTCATAATTATTTGTAATGAATAACTCTAACAATTGGGCAGTTTTTTAACTTTATGGAACAAATATTTGCCAGAAATGAAGAAAAAGTAATGTACTTACTCAGCAGCTCATTGGAAGCTTCCCCTTCAATAAATGCCCCAGCTTCACCAATGGTTCCTGATGGATGCTGATGCAATTCCTGGTTCCAAAAAACATCTTGTCTTGGCTCAAAGGGAACCAGAACATATGCATCAGCATTGTAACTTCCTGCCTTCTCATCTGGGTCTTGGTAAATCTGAGTGGCTACCATTGGCACCATGGTACAGTCATCCAGAGAAGTTGCCATGGTTGGTAGAGCTGGGTAGCTGCATTTTTCTTCAAGAAACACAATTCCACAAAATGATCAGTGAAAACCATTTTTTCCTATTTTTAAGCTAGAATTATCTTTTAAATCTTTAAAAATATGGTGAATTACCTGGCAAATATTTTCAACATGACTAACCACTCTAAGGAACACATTATAAATTTGTAAAAGGGCTTCATGTCCTTTTGAAAAAATGAATAAGTTGACAAAATGAAGTTTTTATTTTTGGACAAAATCTTTGAAAATATGTTATGTCTATCTTGATTTATAGTCAACTTTTCAAGTACAAGAACCAGGAGAAAATAGAAAATGGCCAGAAAATAATGAACATATCTTTTAATCGTTTCTAGGTGTTCATTTATAGATTAGGTTAACCTTTGCATCTCTCACTTTCCATATATGAGGGATGAGGAGCTCTGAGAAACTTTAAATAATGATAAGAATTTTATTAAATACTGTACTGTATAAAAATACCTTAAGAAAGAAGACAGCTGAGATTTAATGGGGCAATTTTAAAGGAATTTAGGGGGATCCAGGCCAAATTAGAAGGATCATAATCACATACAAAAAATAACAGGACAGCTTTTAATGCTTTGATGCTTCCCATAGGTTATCAAGAAAAGTTCTCCAAATAAATAATTTCTAAATATATATGATCCTCTTGCATGTGTGATATGATACCTATGTTTGAACTCCTCAAAGTTGATCAATTCCAATTCAAAAAAATACTATAGTGCATTTGTGGCTTGCAGCAGGACCTTTGAAAACAATCCCTTTTCAAGTTACAAAGCCTGTTTGCCTCACAGATCTTCCAAGAAAATTGACACAAGGTTCTGCTTATGAATTTTACAAATGTTTACACTCACCATCTGGTTGACTTTCAGAGACATCGCAGGGGTAGTAGTTGTGGGGTACCAGAGACTGCATGGATTCAGGCTGAGGTTCAGCCATGACAGCTGAATCAGAAGCAGGATACTTCCATTCACATTTCACAGCACTGGGGCTGTAAGTGGTCACCACTTCTCCACAAACAGGCTCAACTTGGAAAGAAGCTGCTCTGCAACATGCCCAAGGAACTCCATCCAGCAGTTTTTCATTTGACAAGCGCTGATCCACACCTGTGCCAAATTTGGGGAAGTAAAGATTGGAAATTGGGTGCAAAAGGTGTTTGGACCAATTCATCAAGGACAGTGCATTCAACAAAAAGTGTGTGTGTGTGTGTGATGACTGATGAGTAACCCTGGTTCCTGCTGAACCCAACAACTGTTCATGGAACAGACTCATATTAATTAGTTTCCTCCCATTCCAAAAAAAATGGCAGCATACTTTTTTATTTTAAAATGTTTTAGTTTGACCCAAGGTCACCAACACCACAACCAGTAGTGAGCAGTAAAAAGGCATACAAGATACAATGCAATTTGATTCCTTTGTAAAAAAAATTTCACCCACACAAAATCCCAGCTTTATATCTTCAGTAAGATTTATAAGTTGTACAACTTTTATGTCCACATTCCACAAGATGATTTTGCAAAAATAGTTTTGCTGAATTTTGGAGAAACTGGACCTTGAAAACACATCATTTTTTATTCAAAACACAAAAGTAATCTAGAGCCACACAAAAAAACTGAAAAATTCCAGTTTTATATCTTCAGTAAGATTCATAACTTACACAGCTGTGATTTCAACATTCCACAAGAGAGTATTTGGCCAAAATAATTTTGATGGGCCCTGAAAAATCTCAGCCTTGAAAGCACATCATTTTGTATCAATAAAATATCTAGAGCCACATGAAAAAATACTGGGTTTTCTGGCTTACACAAGGAACCATTTAATCTTAATATCCAAATTTTAGGAAATGGCATTTTTGCAACAACAACAAATCCAGGCACTGCTGCAAGGTGCATAAAGTATACAGTACTCCTAAATTTTTTTCTTACTTTTGGATGGGTACTCTCTTCAGTCAGATTCATTTCCATATGAAATGGGTGACAAAACTATGCCCTCCATACACAAGGACTCTGAGAGGCAGGTGGCAACACTGGAAACTCACAATTCATGCAAAAAGGAGGCCAGGTCCTGTAGGTCCTGTCAAAGTGGAAAAAGAGCAACTGGGTGTTGTCACAGCACCTGAAGCTCTCCAGCCACTCAAAGGTGCCACCCAACATGTACTCCAACCTTCTCACACTCTCCATGTGCAAAGGGGTGCAAGAGGGTCCACTGCAACACTGGCTCATGGGCAGGTGGACAGCAACAAGCATGCAGTCAAACAACTTCTGGTTCACTGTGACATACTTGCCACTTTCTTCTTCAATACATGCTCTGTAAA